TTGATATCATAATTAACTTACAAACAGATAAAGTCAATATATTTTTTTCATAAAATTATATTTTTTTAAGAAAAGTGTTTTTGGGTATATTAAAATATTGCCAAAAAGCTGCATTGTTCCTTGATATTTGGCWGGTTTTAAACGTAAGTCCTTTCGCTGAAATTCTTATTAGCCGTCGGCTGCCTTGGTTACGGCTGCTTGAATCGCTTATAGTAATTTGTTAGTATGATAAACTTTTAGTTTTTTTTTTCATTTATACGCGTGAAACTGTAAGTTAGTGTAGAAATAAGATACGTGTGTGGGTCATACTTCAAATTAAGGGGCGGCTGACGTACTGGGTACACTATTTGCATCCAAAAAATTCAATTTGGGATTTTCAGTTGAAACTTGCTATTAAAATAACGTGTACTAACTACAAAAGAGTCGTAACTCAAAAATTTTCAAAATGTATTGTTTTGTTTTTAATAGACAAGTTCCTAATATACTTACATATTTGTTTACCAAAAACTTTCATTGTCCACAATATCTTGCTTTCTTTTTTTTTTAAAGGGTTACAAGGGTAACCCTCGCGTAAAAAACAGCTTTTTTTCAAACAAYTATTTTCTCACTTAAAAAATTAAATATTTTATGACAATGTTTTATCGTTACAAACATACTCTATTAACAAAGAAATTCTGGTAAATTTTCGAAAAAATGTTTTAAACTAGGCCATTGCGATGCCATTTCCGGTGACCCCTCGGACAAAGGATGTGCCCGCGTTGGCATGATAACTTCTTATAGGATCATAAAAAGTGAAAAATACGTGTTTTAGTTAAAACCTTAACTTAGAACTTGGACGGGGGAAAAAAACTGAAAATTGGATTTTTGGCAGACATTTTTACAACAAAATTAAAATTTCAGTAAACACTTCGCGAATTTTAATTTTTCAAATAGTTGTAATCGAAAAAAAAAAATCGTTCGTTTAAAAATCAATTGTGTCACAAAGACCTGTGTAAACTTTCATGAAGATCGGTTGAGTAGTTTTCGAAAAATCTTGACAACCGACTTCAAAAACACAGTTCCAAGAAAAATGCGTTGATCATCGAGTTGCTAGCATCGAGCGCACAAGTTCTCAAGGCTGTATCTCCGAAACTATTACACGGATCAATTTCAAAAATTCAGAACAATACTCTAGAGGTGTTGTAGAATAAGACAATAAGAAAATCGATTTTTTTTGAAACCCGTAAACCCATGTAACCCCTTAAGCTCTTTTCAAAGCGTGTGTAATTCTTCCATACTTTATAAAAAGAWATAATAATAACCACGAAACTTGTTAATAATCAGCAAATTTTTTACTCAATTTTTTTTACTACCATTTTTACCCTGAATTCAAGAAATAACCTTTGGGCAATGAAACACGAATGATATTTTTTATAGTGATAATAAAATTTTTATGAAGCAATTAACAATTTCTTCTTTAATAAAGAGAGATTATGAATAGAAGATATTAATAAACAATAATAACTGAACCTAGTTTAGTACTAAAAAAATTCTCTGAAATTTCCCTTAATTCGCGCCGTCGGCGTTGCTAATTGCAGTTAAAGTGAAGTAAAATAGATTTTCAATTGTACATAAACATCTAGGGTATATACTCAGTTATAGAAGCAGTAGTGGCATTAGTAAGAGTTGTTATCGTGTGCTTTAACCACCTCCCGCACCACACCCCTTTTATAATTTTAAACCAAAACAACGAAAATGTATTCCAATGGCGCTGGCAAATTCACTCGTTCATTCAAATTCACTCGTTTCATTCACTCAAATCTGCGCAGCGCTTAGTCACTCAATTTTTGTTTTTATTGCTGTTTATTGGTGGCGCGCATGCCACCTACCAGCTAACGGTTTGCAACACACGCACACAGCAACGAAATAATCAAACACACTGGCAATCGTGCAAATCGCGCATTTTTCGCGTTTCTTTCTCGTTTCCAATGTGGTTGTTGTTGTTGCGCGCTGRAGTCGCGAAACGATTTCGATTCGATTCGATTCAACGACTGCTGTGTGCAGCCGTGGCCGCTGCCGCTGCCGCCAGGCGTTTGCCGCGCGGCCGGGCCAGACCGCTTTTGTGTATTCGTTTCACACGCGTCAGACAGACCGCAAGTGCTGCGTGTCACGGCTGCCACACGCAAGAAAAATCAAAAGGAATTGCTACCACACAAAAGCAACAATAACAAAAACAGTAAATAAGCGAAATGAGAAAAACAAAAAATAAAACTGAATGGAAATGAAAAATAAAATTGGAAAATACAATGCCACAATCAATGGCAATACAATAACAAATTCGTTCAAAAACAACAACTGCTCCAGTTRTAAAGTTAGAAAATAAAATGAAAACGCGAGCGCACAAAAATATAACTGCAAATTTGTCGTGAAAAGAAATTGGTGCGAAAAAGTGCGAACACGCAATAGCAACAACAACAACAATATTGACAATAAATTTGTATCTAAATGTGCAGCAAAAACGCAATCACCAATTGTGGCGCTCCATGTAGGCGCTTGCAAGAGCCTGTGTGCGTGCGTGTGTGTGAGTCTGTGATTTATTTACAATTCCGGTGCGAGAAAAGCCGCTAAACAATAAGAAATAAATTCAAATGCTGCAATATAGTTTATGCATATTTATTAGCACAGCGCAAAAACGTGTTAAATTTTGAAATTATTTGTGTGACAGCGAAAATTTTGAAATTATTTGTGTGACAGCGAAAAATGTTTGTCCTTTAAAGACAGTGAGTTCGTCTGAGAAATGTTGTAGATTTTGTTGTCTAGTTTTGGTGGTAGGGTCTGTAGACTTGGCAAACTGTCTTCATTTTATTTGTTTATCCCGGTTTTTTGAGCAATTATTAAACGAGAATAATGTGTGGTAAGCGGTGTCTACKCCAGTAAAGAAGAAGAAGAACGTGTGCTTAACTTCCACTTCGTCAAATATGCGCTCCTTTACTGTCAAAAATTAAAAGAAAACAAGAAAAAGTTTGCTTTGATTGCATCCAAGTTATTATAATGTTCACTGGTACCTTTCTTGTATCATAAAAGGGTATAAATCGTTCCATGTATAGCTGCTTCATCCTAAAGTGGGCCGATTTGAACAATRTTTTGGGAGAATGCGGCCTTGCCTTGAACAATAGTCTGTCAAAAAATATGTTAAGTTAATTTTTTGAATAAAATWGTTTGCCATACTTGGACTTGATTTTGATCGGTCAGTTGGTTTGTCAGCTTTAAGCWGCAGTGGTCCGAACTAAACGATTTATTCGAAGAATGTAAAGTTTCTTTGTACAATAATTCATGCTAGATTTCATGCAGTTATCTGGTCAAATAAAAAAAAATTCCATATAAAGAAATCCTGCTCCGAATATAAATGTAAATCTTAGAAAAAGAAATCCTGCTCCGAATATAAATGTAAATCTTAGAAATATTTTTTACGTGGTCAAAAATTCATATTTCAATATCAGAAATCCATTTTTTTTATATTTAATATTTTTCTATCATTACTTAAATAATTTGTTGTAAATTAAACTGTATTTGAAAAAAATTGTGAGCACAATGTCTCTGTTCCATGAAAGTTGTGATGAAAAATTGTCAGTTTGACCTGATTATGCTATAATTTATAGAAAGGCTTCACATTTATTGTAAAAGAAGAAATTTGCTATTTTTTATGGAAACTTTAAACGTGCTCCGCTCTAGTGCTAGTGGTTAGAAAACTGGAAATTTAACGAAATCTATAATTTAGTTTCTACACGTCTATTAACTCAAAAAATCAAATTATTAAGTTTGGAATATATTTCAGGACACAGCCGCCATTAGAGATGTAAGGAAAAGTGTTCGAGAATAAAAAGTCGCAAAAACAGATTTACATTTTAGCTCAAAATTATAAAGAATGCATAGTGCGAAAAGTTTGAAATACTTTTTCGAGTTGCGAAAAGCCTTTTGCAGCTTTCAAGACGGCATTGCGCTGTCCGCCAGCCTTTCCGAAGAGGTTTCTTTACTGAATTTTGTTTGTCATTGAAAAATTATAGTAGCTTGATTAAAATTAAAATTTAGGCTGTTATGTTTTCTAGTTATTAATGCAGCAAATTACCGAAAAATAATAATATTGAAAGCATAAAAAACGTTTTTTTTGTGAAAAATTACACATTCAAAGTTTTTTACTTTATTTGCAACTAATTTTTATTTTTTAAATAAAAAAAAAGAGAAATAATAATAATAACAATATCCAGCTAATTTTGTATACAGGAAAACTAAAAATTACAGTAAATTCAAACAATTCATAATGACTAGGTAATTAAACACGCAGCAACAACAAGTCGAAAATCGACAACATATTATACAAAAAAAAAACTGCAAAAAAGTACATAAAATCAATGAATACCAATCAATAAATCGTTGCCAATAAATAAAAGTGCAAAACAGCAAAATAAATAAGGCTACATACTAAAGTAAAAACAACAGCAACAACGAATGAAATATGGTTGTATCGTTGCCAAAAAAGTAGTGAAAAATCGCTTGCTAAGCGAATGTAGCTAAAAGCAGATTGCAACTGTAGATATATCAATAAAAAGGCGTCGCAACAATAACAACAATAAGCGCTAACAATACTAAAGCAACTGCTGAAAAAAGCCAGCCTTAGAAGCTGCAAAGTGTATTGCGTCGCGAGCTTATCTCTCAATAAGCAGAATAAAGTGCAAAAAAATAAAAATAAAAATAAAAACAAAGAAAACACACACATAAATTGCCCCAAAGACACAAGAAACAACAAAACATTGAATTTGAAGTGTGTGGAAGCAGATCTTGCGGGAAAGTGCCACTTTGCAATTGCACCTTTGGCCGTCGTTGAAGCGGTAACAACAGCAAGAGCTGCAGCAGTGGTAGCAGACGCCGCCGYGCCCTTTTAAGAGGCGCTTGGGATCAGCAGTTACGCAGCKAGAACGCAGTCAAAACGGCGACCATAACGAATTCCACGGCGTTAGCGATGAGCCAACTGGGCACCGTCTACGCGACAAAGCGTAGGCGACGCAATGGCAAAAGGTGAGTGGAGTGGACTGTGTACAGTTATTTACTTGTGTGAATGACACTTAGCAAGTGGAAAAAATATTGAAGAAAAAATTCATTCAGATTTTCGTAAGGACTTTAGTTATAGTTAATTCAAGTTAAACTTGTGTCGAAACTCTAATATCTGCAACAGTTTTGAAATGAGTAAAATATTAAAAAAATATTATTTTCGAATGCTTTAATTTTTCCTCACATATTTTTTTATCGTTTTTATAATTTATTATTTTTTTAAATGCTTAACACATTTTCCCACCAATTTTTAATTTTGCTTTTAATGAAAAACATATTTTCAAAAACTTAAAATTAATAAAAAATGAAAATAAAAATAAAAATTACAAAAAATAAATTTTCAGTTCAAAWTTTTTTCAAAAGCTTCAAATTAAAAAAATTAATTACAGCTATTAAATTTCACTTCATAATTTTTTTTTAAACTGAATACATCAGTATATCAAATTTCACATTAAGAAAGTGCGCTAAATCTCTGTCTATAGCTGTATATCAAAAAAGGAAAAATTACAAAAAATTGAAATTCAGTTCACAATATTTTCAAAAGTTGCAAATTAAGAAAAATGTAAATAAAARTTACATAAATWAAATTTCAGCTCACTTTTTTTYWWTWAAWWAAAMMAAAAAAATTATACAAAGTTAATAAATTAAGTAAAGCAGTAAGTAAAACAAAGTAAAAAATTATTACAAATAACTAATTTTCAGTTCAGAAGTGTTTTAAAAACTTCAAATTAAATAAAAATTAAAATTACAAAAATTAAATATTCAGTTCACAATTTTTTCAAAAACTTGAAATAAAAAAAATTAAATTAAAATTTACAAAAAAAATAAATTAGTTCACATAAAATAAAATGGGCAATATCGCTTTTGACCGTTCAGCCCTGCAATTATTTATTTTTTTGCTTTATTTTAGCATTTCTCGCGTACGCATGTTGA